ATGATGATGATAATTTTTAGCTACAAAACGAGCAATTATTTATTGTGACATCGTCACAATGCCGGGCTGCAATTTTTAATCATATTTTTAATTAATTTAATTCAAAATATATGCTCTTCACCTTAAATTAGTAGTGGCTTGCCCCCAGTGCCGGCCCGAGGCAAGTTTTAGGATGGAGCGAGATCCTATTATGGCGCCCCCTTGGTCAGTAGCGTAGCGAACATAACTGGCGCTCGGGGCACGACACTTTATTGGCGCCCCCTCCAGAAACACATATAGTTTGTCTTGGAGACCATTTGGGCGCCCCTCTGCGAGTGGCGCCCGGTGCTTGATACACCCCCTTGCACCCCCTCGCTACGCCACTGCCCTTGGTTGCCCCAAATTTATACCCTTTAATTTTCTTTACCACTGAGGCGCCCCCTAGGACTTAGCGCCTGGAGCGGCTGCTCCTTTCGCCCTATGGTAGGGCCGGCTCTGGCGCCACATCACTAGCGGACATTTGAATTTGCCGACTAGAATGCGGTCGGTTAACCGAGGTGACGGTTAATCGGTGGTCGGATAATCGATGCTCTACTGTATATCGAAAAAAGGTGGTGGAACTCCGTTCCATTGCGTTCTATGACAAAAAAAAGCGCTGGTTAGTATAAAGTATTGCTTGGGCGCGTTGCAGAGCGCGTTGCGTGGTGAAGTGGCTTTAACAGCTGGATGAGCAAACCAATGACAGCGTTTCAAATGAACGGACTATGTCATTGGTTTACTTATCCAACCATATTAAACCCGCTTTAAATATAATTTTTCAAATGAAAATTATTACGCAATCAATATTACGCAATACAGTTCATATTAAGATTTTAACTAAATGTCAGGGCTGTGGAGTCGCGTAAAAATCTTCCGACTCCGACTCCGACTCCGTTTCATATACATAACAAGTTGGTAAGTAAAAAGGGAGTCGGAGTCGGCGGATTTTTTGACGACTCCGACTCCGACTCCGGCCAAAACTCCACGACTCCGACTCCACAACCCTGCTAAATGCAAATTTTTAAAATTTTTAACATTTTAAATAATTTTTATATATATTTTTAAAAATTATTTAACGGTTAATAAATTTATTACGAATAAAAAAATGTATAAATTTATATATTTGCAAGGACGCATAATTTTACTTTATTTCCGATCTTTATGAATTTATTAAACTACAAACGATTGGACAAAAATTGTATTTCACATTTTAAACGACCAATGGAAAACATTCTAAATACACACACCATGACTCGATTTCATTACGTCTGGAGTTTTTGATATTTCGTTCGGAGTTGGAACTATCGCGTCATTTCGCAAAGTTTACTTTGTTCCTGGATTTAATTGATATATTTGGTAGTTAATAAAGTACGTAAAGAATGAATAGATTATTTGGAAGAGGAAAGCCTAAAGAACCACCCCCGAACTTAACTGATTGTATATCTAATGTAAGTTGTGTAGTTTTGATTTCATGTTTCCGAATATTTTGTTTGATTTTCAGATAATGTATTATATTATCAATTAATAAAGCTCTATGAACCTTTCTAAATATAATTTCTTAATGATTGATTTAATGTAATGTATATAATCCTAGTAGGAGTTACCTTTAGGCTGTTCATTTATGTGACTGTGAGAAATACCTGCTGAAATTCTCTGTAATGTTTACAGTATTGAATAATATTTTTTGATGGATTGTTTTTAAACACTAATTTTTTCTTTTAGTTTGTTTTATATTGTCATTAAATAAAACTGAAAGAAGTCATGGCATGTTAAAAAAATTGTGGATTTAAAATTCCTTTAAGAAAAACAAAAGTATAAACATTTAAAAGCAAACTGTTTATCCAGATTACTTGAACAGAGTATTAGCGGAAGGAACGAACGTCTAGTATGAAATCCAAGACGTTAATTTTTTGAGGATAGTTTAGTTTAGTTTAAAAATTCTTATTTTTTGGGTTTTTTAATAAATGTGTACTATGAAAACAAGTAACACAAAAATTAACAACATTAATATAAGGTTTTTATAAAAATGAAATCAAATAATAAGTTATGTAACATTTTGATTGAATCGTGCAAATGTAACAAATATTTTAAAATTTTTCCCACTCAAAATTTAGTGTATTAAACAATATAAGTAAACATTCAAATATTTGAATCATTAATAAGGTTCGACTGTGGGACGAGAAACTGGCTCAGTTAGCTGCTTTCTACTTTGAAGCAATATCTTGCAATACAATGATGATTGAAACAGCAAATATTCAAGATTTTTTGTATATGTATTTTCAAAAGTTTAGTACTTGTACATGTGCATTTCACTAGAAAATTAAAATTATAGTTTATAGAAGATTTTATAATGCTGTCATTTTTCTCTATTTTTTACAATGTCTTTTAACAAAGTGGTTTTATCAGAAAGCGTGCCCAATATGTACAATAAAATAAAATACATTTAATTGCTATGTAAATAATTGCAAAAATTATTCAGGAGAAGAATCTGTCTTTCAGCTTGATTACAATATTATAGTACAGTACTGTATTTTATTACCCTATTAGATAAGTATTGTATATTAATTAATTAAGGAGCTAAGATAAGTATAGTATATTAAGGAGCTATTTGGAGTATTGGTTTAGTTTCCTACACAAACTAATGTTAAACTTTTTAACTTTTAAACATGGAGAGCTTTTATTATTAGTATTTGAAAATCAGTGTCTCAATTTAGCACCCTCTATTGTGGTTAGAATGATTGATGCAGGATAATAGTTTTCTTTTAGTTAAAATACAGAACAAACATTGAATGAACTGTGTGGGAAAAAAGAATATGAGAAAAATTGACATTATATATATGGGTCCTCATTTGGAACTGGAGAAAACAACCAATAGATGCAGAAAAACGATTGATTTGGGAATGATAGATCGAGGTTTCACTGTACATGTAATCTCTGTTCTAAAATGGAGAAACAGAGTAAATTAAATTAATAAGTAGGCTTTAATCATTTTTAAATGTTAAAGCAGAATTTAAATTTGCAGTTCTTGCATATCAATCTTATGTTACGTCATTTGAATTCTTTGGCATAGTTTTAGATTAAGTGCAGTCTAAGCATCAGGCTGTGGTCAGTTTGGTCTAACTTTGATAGATAATTGGTCTGCATTATTCTTATTTAATAATTTATTAACATTTTGTGTGTTTTTTGGAAGAAACGTCTTATTATCTGTTGTTTATTTTGGAAGTTATCTCTGAAATTGTGATGCTAAATATTAGTGTAGTATCTAATGATAAGTCTGTGGATTTACTAATTAATTCTAATAGCTATTTCAACAGATATCAAATTCCAGATAGTTAAAAAGGAAGAATTTTTTCCTCACTCTTAAAAATGCTCCATGAAGACATCATTTCAGATTTGATAATAAATAGACAATGTATATGTCTCATGTAGCAACAAATAAAAATTTCTGTGGATTCCTGGAATTAGTTATCCATTGAAGGACTTATGTGGAATGTCAGAGTGAGATTATATTGAAGCTTGACAGCAGTGATGTTTCATGTAGGCAATCCAACTTTTTAGTACATTTTCCAGTTCTTCAGAGAATTACTCACAAAGTCAACCCAAAATCCAGCAATTAATCGCACAAACATCTACCATCTACCATTCAGTAGACATCTTCAGATGGAATGTTACAATTCTATTGAAAAATTCTTAATTTAGAATTGTATGTGTTGTGTAGTAGGTGTGATGTCTGGTTATTTGTGGATGTTACCGGCCAAACCCAATTTCAGGCCAAACTAGTTTATCCTACACATGTCAGGATATACTAGTTTAGCCTAGGACAATCTAGTTTGGTTTAAATACTTTAGGCTTAACTAGTTTGTCCTAGGCTGAACTGATTTAGAATTATTATTTAAGTCAGGCCTGGCCAACCCAAGTTGTTTCGCGGGCCGCTTTGATCAAGCGTAACATTACAATGGGCCACAATTTAGGCAAACATGCTTTTAAAAAAGTAAAACAAATACAAAATGAATAAGATTTCATTGTTATACCAAGAGTTTGTACTCTCACCTGCGCATTATAACAATGACACATGCAAATTTTCATTTATTTAATTGTTTTGGTATACACAAAACGGAAAACGAAAGTTTTAATAGATATATAATGTCGCTTAGTGTGCCACACAATTTAATGTGATGGGCTGCGGGTTGGCCAAGCCTGATTTAAGTATATTAGTGGTTAAAATAAAATTAAAAGGCAATCAATTAGATGAACAATATTTATTCAAACATAGTCTACTTAATTATAAAAAATGGTATTGATTTAGAAGTGACACAACACTTGTACAAAACTATAAAATAAAAATAAGCTAATCAGTACTTATCAGTTTGCATTTTTTTATTAAACCATACACTTTTAAAGGTAATTAACTTTTGAAAATATTTTGAAAAATTCAAACAAAATAATAAAAATAACTTTTAAAGTCAAACTAAAATTAAAAATGAACTTGTTTGTGTTTCTTAGTGTAACATATAAAGTATTTAATCCTTTATTTATTTTTACAGGGTGAGTTAAAGTGTACCTAGGTAACCCCAATGGCAGCACTTCGGACTGTTTGTGCTCCCAGCGGACTCTTCCCAGAGGGGAGCCGCCGGCAAGCCGTCCATTGTTTAACGTCACTAGTTATTGATTCATAGTAGTTCTTGAACAAAAGAAAAAAAAGGAAACGTCTACTAAAAATGTAGTTAACCTAACCAAAGCACTGCCATTGCGGTTACCTAGGTACACTTTAACCACCGGGTGTACTGTGGTGGTATTTCGAATTACACAAAATTTTTTTTACACTGGCACCTATTTATAGTACATAAATCAGTTTGGCCTAGGTCAAACTAGTTAAGCCTAAAGTATTTAGGCTATAGTTTATACTGACATGCGTAGTATAAACTAGTTTGGCCTGAAGTCGGGTTTGGCCAGTAACAGATAGATGATGCAGAATTTGTCAGATGGAACGTCATCAGCTAGATGTTGGTGAACGTAAAACTTCCAAGTTGGAGGGAAAACTTCTTGTTCTTGTGGTTGATGGTTTACAGAAGCCTTTCTTATACAAGGTTTCCATAAAGAAATGCTATATCCACCAATAGCCAGGTGCCATACCTACTACGCAGCATGTACAGTTCTAAACAAGGAATTTTTTCATAAAATTGTAACATTCCATCTGAAGATGTCTATCGGAAGGTAGAGGAAAATGTTTGTGCAGTTGTTTAATTGCTGGATTTTGGGTTGACTTTGAGTAGTTTTTTTGTTTACATATCCAGTATTGTGTTGTTGTTCCAGTTCTTCATTTGACCCATCTTTGTGTGTGTGTTTGCAAGGATGTGTGCATGTAGACACACATATTCACTCATAATAAACCTATTATTTATAAACTTCAGAAAGATGAAGGAAAATTTTAATACCTCAAAATTTTATTTTTTATTTTTCCCTATACTTTTACATTTGGAATGTAACTACCTATATATACTATGTTTAAATATTACTTTAACTTAACTAGTTTAATAATATTGTAAAAATTAACTGATTATTAAGCTGCAGTTTGAAAAAATTGCAGACCTATAAATTCCCTCCGTCGTTCATCTGTTCTGTTTTTTTTTTTAACCTCGAGAATGGAGTTAGATGGATGAAAGATGAGATCAAATATGGAAATCTTAGGGCAGGAGGAGCTGATTAACTATATAAGAACTTCCGATGCAAACTGGAAGTCATGCTATTTCAGTTCAAAACCTTTTCCCTGAAAGGTGTTAGATAGATGATCAGCATGACTATTATTAGAGAAAAAGTATGATGTACAGGGGCAAGCCACTGCTAATTTGAGGAGGAAATCATATATTTTAAATTAAATAAATTAAAAATATGATTAAAAATTGCATCCTGGCATTGTGACTGTCGCAATAAATAATTTTTTTTTTTTTTTTTAAATTCCCATTAGCTAGTTAATTATTGATAAAATATTTTTATATTTATTGTAGCTCTGAAGATTATATTAAGATGTTATATTCTTAGTTTTAAGATAATCTTTAGTTATAGAATCAATATTTTTTTTAAATTTAAATTCTATTGAATTGCTTTATAAATTATTAAATAAAATGCTACAATTGTATCTAAACTTTCTTTTTTCAGGTTGATAGTAGAGGTGAATCTATTGAAAAGAAAATTGCCAAATTAGATGCAGAACTTATAAAATATAAAGATCAAATGAAAAAAATGAGAGAAGGACCTGCAAAGGTATTTTAATCAAATCTTTAATTTTTATAAAACTTCTTTAAAATGTATCTTACATTTTTCTATTAAAAACAATATTAATAGAAAAATGTAAGATACATTTTAAAGAAGTTTTATAAAAATTAAAGATATATTGTTTTGAAATTCTTTTTGAATTTGACATATCATTTTTACTTGGAAATATATAATTAAGAGTCAGATAATTTTTGATTGGTTTAACGTGCTCAATAAAAAATTTATCAGAATAGATATCACAAGACAGTTGTATTTGTACCAAAATCTAAGTTTTATTCTAATACTGCATGCACATTATACATATGCAAATTCTTACACACAAATTTCTTGATTAGTGAATAGTCTAATGGCTCTATTCCATGTTCTTCTCATTCTCCATATTTTACACCTCCTGGACTTTGCACTGAAAAGTGGAAATGTTATAGACCTCACCGTTATCCATGAATTCATGTATTTAGGATTTCATAGAACATGCAAAAACCTCCACTTGTTGTGTGGTGCACTGCCTTGTTATGCTATTCAGACCTCCAAATGATTCTTCTCTTCCAGACACATTTAAATCTTTGATATAATCATTCATTGTTACTCACGGCACCAACTGGGGACAAGTAATCAATATCCTAGGTACTACTAAGATTTAAATGTGTCTGGAATTGAAGAATCATGCGGAGGTCTAAGTGGCATAACTGGGCAGTGCATAGCATGGTAAGTGGAGATTGCGGGTTCAACTCCTGTTTCAGACTGATTTGTTTTCTTCCAGACTGTTCTAAATTACTTAATAAATATTAAATTATAATAATTATTAATTTAAATAAGAGATGGCACATAATGTCTAACTCTAGTACCAAATTACTTCATTTCTAATTATTAATTGTAGCAAAAAATAGCCTGATTATGGCAATTGTTTGGTGTAGAATTTAATGTGTTTTTCATTTGAAAATAGATCCAACTGATTTTTCATCTCTACTTATAGACTGAGTTGTCAAATTTAAATTTCTAAATTGTTTTAATTCCATACAGCTCAACAGGAGGTAAGATAATGTATGTTGTCCCTTAGAGCATCTTGGATCTACCAGATTTGTTAATAAAGAGATCAAAAAGTTCTTCCCAAATAAAACAAAATCAACACACCATCCTGCACTCTCATATTCATTTGGAGTTATACGTTTGATATACAGAACTATAACAACTCCAAAGAAAATGTAAACAACATTAACCTGCAATCACATGCAGTAGCAACAATTTTTTGCATCTACTAGTTTTTGCAGGCATTTTTTACCAAATTGACTTACTTAGCTCTGCTTTCATGATATTCTCTTGCTACATGTCATCTGCGTAAAAATTTTGGTTGAAAAACTGTTTTCTTCTTATCACAGGCCCTCAAAAAACATGCTGCATAAAATTGCTGCCTTATGCATGTGATCACATGTGATTTCCCCCCTCCCCACATTCACATGCATGTGGTGGTGATTTTTCAGCTCTTGGTTTTGGTGACATTTAAAATGGCATCATGGCGGTCTTATGACTACCACTTGAAGTAATTGTGAATGTGATAAACATCTCACACTTGGCAGTCTGCAAGTCACTGACCTTGAATACTTATAAGTGTAGGATAATCTGGGGTAATATGACCTTAAGCAATTTAAATGTTCTTCCAACTTTATTTTGTGCTTGAAAAATACAGAAGTCATTTCCTGGTCTTTGAGAAACAACTCAGCCCTCCTATCATTTATTTCCAGGTGAACTTGTTTCACATTATTCTATGTTATCATAAAGTCTGTATGGGAGAAGGGTCAAGGGCATTGTTCTGTAAACAAAACAATATTGCATAAACTACACAATGTATGATGATGAAATTTGGCACATGTAGAGATGTCATATTGCAGGATTTTTCAGAATAGTCAGATTTGAGGAACAGCAATTACATGCTGCATACTTGTGTGAAAAATCAGCAGAAAATTGCAACCTTATGAATGAAATTGCCTGGGGGAAAAACTGCATGTGAGTGCAGGTTATCAAAAACAACAAAGCCTTTCTATGACTTAGAGTGGTGTGACTTTTTTCATATTTCTTTATAAAGACAGAGGATGAGGCTTCACAAATGTAGTAAATCTTCAATACAAAACAAATATAAATACTGAGTTTTTCTACTATAACTAAGAATCATCCCAATTACACAATGCTGTAACTTATGCAGACAAAAATAATGCACCATTAAAACTACACAATACTGATTGGAGCTAACACAGTACAGTAATACCCCAAACTTACGCGATAGGTGGAACCGAGCGGTAACCGCGTAAGTCGAATTCGTGTAAGTCGGGGTATAATTTCACATATAAATACATACAAATAATTTTTAATTGGGGCCGGAGACTAAAGAAAACAATAGTTTAGAAAAAAATGTTTAATAAAATCTTAGATAATACATATGTATAACAAATTAGGCTATATTATTTTACAATTTTTCACATTTACTTGATTATTATGCCATAATTTTAACATTGTTTCCATCTCAGCGATAATACTGTGACGTTTACGAATGATGCTTGAATTTAAAGATTGAGCATTTTTCACAGCTTCGAGAATTTTTTCTTTGCCTTTTATAATTGTTCTGACCGACAATTCCGGTAGATCAAACTTCTTTGCCAATTCACAAATTTTCATTTTTGTATCAAAGTCTTTAATAATGGGTACGTTTGTAAAGTCAAACGAGTTAAACATGTTAGTAACGAATCGTACGAAAAGTTTAACGAAATAGGAATAACGATGACGTCATTCTCATTTAACTCGTTCGACTTTACGAACATACCTAATGTTAACTTTACATTCCAAAGATAAAGTTTTTCTTTTCTTGTTTGATGCAGAAGAATCTGTTATACTTCGTTTGGATGACATAGTAGAGTCTCTCAAGTCTCCGTAGACATAACAAACACAGAAATAAATAACACAAAATAAATTGTAGCTATGTGTCGATTCTGCGCGACACATTCGAACATCCGAAGCTGAACAATAGTGGGGGGGAGAGTGAGTAATCAAGGGTTGTGTGGTGCTCAAACAAAAGACAAATCGACGAGATTTGAAAATCGCATAACTCCGGGTTCGCATAAGTTGAGGTATTACTGTACACAACAGACACCATAAAATAATCCTGGATCTAGAATTCCTTGATAGGCATCTTACTGATCTTGGCAGGAGCATGTTGAGAGAACTCAAGATGTGTTGGCTGACTTGCAGATATCTCTGGAGAAACAAAAGGCTTTGTGATTGCCATACAAACCAATTCATAAATACAAAGACAAAATTACAGAAAGCACATTTTAAGAAGACAACAGTTGTAGGAAATGCTATACATTACATTACATCAGGTTGCAATCTTTAACACAGACTGACTGCTTGCATTGCCAATCAAATAGCAATAATACATCAAAAGCTTGTATACAAATACAAGCTATTATATATCCAGGAATCATACCTCAAGTACACATTTCAGATAGAAGACAACATGCACAGAATGTACTATGACTGCTCTAATCAGACATATTATGTCTGATTTACAGCAGTCATAGTACATCCATGGATTTTTTTGTTTTTTAAAAAAAATGTATAAAGTACTGTGTGTGTGTATTTGTGTTTACTCACATACACTCTCTATAGCTGTATTAAATATTTAAAAATAAAATTTTCTTTTTTCAGAATGCTGTTAAACAGAAGGCAATGAGAGTTTTAAAACAAAAAAAGATGTAAGTTTCAGTTAGTTTTTATCATTATTGTTTTAAATTCTTACAATATTTTATTTGGAAATTTTCAACTTTCATAAAATTACTGATATATTCAAACTATAATAGAATAGATCTCTGTATATTTCTGATAATTATAATGCAAATAAACTAAAGGTGATTAAAACATGAAACATTAAAATAATCTTAACAATGAAAAAATTTTATCTGGTATTTTCTCTTCTCAGTCTATTAATAAGTGTTGAAATGCAAAGTTTAATTATAATAACTAACTAATACTGAGTATTTGAAAACAGGTTGATTTAATGCATTGATAGAGATTGAAGTAAACAAATGAAGTATTAAAATTCTTCAAGAAGTCAGATTGCAGAATAAGGGTCTGTTATGTCTACCTGTTATGAATCAGGTTGTCTGATTTGGTAACATTTTGTTTCCAAAGATTGTCAAATGGTTTTAAGTGCAAGCATTTATACATTGCAGAGCAGTTATTTTCAGACAAGGAGCTTTCATTCCACCATTCTTTGCTAGAATGTTTTGTCTGAAATGATATATGCATGAACCTGTTGGAACAGTCATAACTGGAGATTGCTGGCTAGTATGAATTACATTCAGACAGCTTTTATGCTGGTGAACATGAACATTATTTTGATGTAAGGATGCAGCGTCCATAAATAAATAGAAGCATCACCACTGCAGCAATCTCAACATGTGTGCGTTGGTCCATTTGCTTCTATACTTAGATGCCACATCATCACATCAAAATATTTCTTATGTATCCAGGCCCTTTGAATTGCAGTGGACAGTCTTATTTGAAGCATAATAATTGTCCTGTTTCTAAGGGAATTTTCTATGTTTTCCAATAGGACATTGAAATCATACTAAGTCATTCCAAAATACAGTGGTACCTTGGTATACGTCTGCTTTAAAATATGTCCAATTTGGAATACGTCCTGTTTGGATGAAACAAATTTTGCTTGATATACGACTTAATTTAATTATATGCACCATCTATGAACAAGTAGCACTATTGGTGTACTAGACCAGACTAGACATTTGCGGTACCATGGTTTATAACTTTGTTAAATTTCTTCTGATTTTAATTTGTAAGTAAAATTTTATTATTTTTATTAATTATGAATTGCAAAAAGGCAAATGAAAAACAACAGAAAAATAAAATGACTAGAATCACAATGGAACTGAAAAAAGAGATTGTTGAGAAATATGAAGGTGGCATGCATGTTTGAGATTTAACTATTGCATACCGTATTCCATGAATGACAATATTGGCAATAGTGAAAAATAAAGACATTATTGAATCTGCTAACATTTCGAAAGGGGTTAAATCAATTTCTAAACATGATCTAATGTTTAGAAATTGCTTTTGCTTTTGGATAACTGAAAAACAGTGTATTGGCAAAAGCATATCAGAAGCAATTATTTGAGAGAAAAAGATACAGGCTGATCTCATGAAAAATCAAGTGGGAACTATCCAGGAAAGCGAGGTGTTTAAAGCCAGTCATTTTTTTTACATGAGAACGGATTAATCATTTTTACATTTCTTCTTATGGGAAAGGTTGGTTTGTTATATGTCCTATTCGGTATTAAGTCCAAACATCAGGAACTGATTAAGGTCATATACTGAGGTTGCACTGTATAAGAAAAACTTTTTCCATTATCCACCAGTAAGTTTACTATTCTCTGAGTCTTCATTTTTAATATTTTATGACACTATAATGACAACAGTGTTTTATTTTTTTTGTCATCTTCATTCTGTAGTAATATTACAAACACATCTTTGAAAGATAAATGACCATTGTGAATTGATCAAAGGCTGTCAGTATGTAAACTGCTTATGTCTGAAAGGATAGTGTGAATATACCAGTATGATATTAGTGTTACCATTACATTTCTGAACAGGTAAGTATAAATAGATCTTAACTTGGTCTCTGTGTTACTACTTAATGTGATTAGGATTTTTGATGGATGGGCAAGACACTAGTTCTTGATAGTTGAATTGTTCACTGTCATGTAAGTTCATAATGATCACATCCAAGAAGTAGTCAACTATCTAGCACAAATTCTTGGGAACAACAAGAACTTTAGCAGCTGAATAGGTCCAAAGAGATTCCAACTGAAGATGAGAATATTCAAATGTAAGAAGTGTCTTGTATCTGAATAAGTGATTCCAATTAAAGGTGAAAGTATTCAGGTACAAGACACTTCTTACATTTAAATATTCTCATCTTCAGTTGGAATCTCTGGAGCTATTCAGCTGCTAAACCCACTAAGAACTTTATTCATTACAATTTATTTCTAGTAGAAATTAACACAATAAGTAGCAAATACTATATTACTCTAGAAATAACAAAGTGCTGAGCTATCATCAAAGAAGCCAAAGGAAGACAGATTATAACTTGAAAGACAGAGCAAGATCATCCGCATGGAATGTAATAATAAAAATTAGATACAAAAATGATTTTAGTTAAAATAATCATCATAAAATTTTATTATTTAAAGAAAAAGTCAGCTATAAAAATTCCATTGACTGGAAAAGATGCTATATATTGTTTTGTCATATAATTTGCTGATAAAATTGGCATCAGTAATGAATGATCTTTCAATTAACTTCTGTCAATGAGTTTTAGTAAGAAAAAAGAATTCAGAAGTGAGATTCAATAAAAACTTCAAAAAATAAATGATATCCTAATATGTAATTCTAGTTCAGAAAAGGTGTCGTAATTGTTAATTTCATTATTGAGATTGTTATTGTAATACAGCAATAAACTAAGTTTAAAACTAAAATCATAAGCTAATGCATATAAAATATAGTATAAGAATGTTATGAATAGACTAGTTGTACCTATAAAAATATTTGTTAAAAAATTATTAATCTACAAAAAAAAATAGGAAAGATAAATTTATTCATATAAAATTTATAAAATTGTATGTAATACCTTCACAGTTAGGCAAATTGATATTTAATCAAATAGTGTTTGTTTCTTTATTGTCTGTTTGCAAGAGTTCTTTGTCCAGGTGCCACTGTATTTGAAAGAAATGTCAGCTCTCATGACCAAGATTTAATTTAATTTACTTCTTTCTGTTAATAATATAAAGTTAAAAAATGATTGGAAACCAATAAATGCCAACTCAATATTTTCTGAAGCATTTTTGTACTGGATGGGGTAAGTTCAGTAATTGGCAAGGCAGTGAAGAGTGCCACTATAATGAGCAAAATTGGGCATATTTTTTTGCATCTAATTATTTTAAATGAAGTTAAATGATAAAATAAATGCAATAGGACTAACGTACAGTAAATAAACTTCAAAATGATGTATTTGCATATGAATTGCATTTGTTTTATAGAAATTGGAAATACATTTTACCTTAGTATGTTCTATATACAGTATATAGATATACAGTGGTGCCTTGTATAATGTATGCCTCGAATAATGGACGCTGCGAACAATGGCCGTTACGTGACTTGAGCAACGGACTGGCTGCAAACAACAGACTTTCCGTTTGGCAGTTATGTGAGGAGAACAATGGTCTTTCTGAGAACAAGTGTGAATGATGTTTCCACTCTTTTGCCGTTGCCAATGACAATCTGCTATTTTTATAATATATTAGTATTATTAGAATATATTATTAGTATATCTGAAGTACAGAGCTCCCATTGGGATTTGGCTTGCTCCCTTGTTTATTACGTACATCACCTCAGTGCGGAGTATTTACATTTATTCAAGTGTTGTGCAAATCATGGCTTCTAAAATAACAGAGAGGTGATTTCAATTGAAACAAAGCAAGACATCATCAGAAGGAATGAAAGTTGACAAAAGAGAGGTTAAGGAGTTTACCAACACTCATTATTATCCAAACAGAGCTGAGGCCAGCAGGATCAATGATCTCCACAATAACACCCTTGCCTGTCATTTCCGACAGGTGTTGAAGAAGAGAGAGAAACAGACCACCTTGGACATGTTTTTCAAGAAGCAAGCTGCCAAAAAAAAAAGGATGGAACAAGAGATGACCCTGCAAGCTCTGGTAGCCTCTCCTGAATCTGACTTCGATTAAAAACAATAAAAAGAGACCTGCTGCAATGTGTAAAAAGTCTGTATCTGTATGAATGTGTAAAGAAAGTATTCCTCCACTTCTTCCTTCTCACAACATCTGACTACTCGGCATAATTGGTGACTGCTCCATTTTCATTTTTTTTATGGTACAGTATGGTTATTTTATGCTGTGGAATGAATTATGTATTTTAACATGTATTTCTATGGGAAAATGCGTTTCGTATAACGGACTTTTCACTTAACAGACGTGCACCTGGAACAGATTAAGTACGTTATACGAGGTACCACTGTATAGGTTTACAATATGATCTTAATTCATTACTAGATTTTTCCGAACAGAATTGTAAACAAATCAGATAAGGTTATTTAGTTATTGGCAATAGTATTTGAATTTAGTGTTTACTTATGCAATGTCAAAATTTCCTGATAATATTGGAAGCAGTATTTTCTTTCAAGATAATGCACATATTCTTAATCTTAAAAAATCTTTTAGGCATTTCTTTGTGTGTTTGTTATCACTACAGTACATAGTTTCTTATACTATGACTTATGGGCTCATTCAATCACATTAAAGAATTAATTTTTAAACAAAATAGTTTTGCTTTAAATCAACAATTAAAATCTATTAAATGTGCTGTTTAACAGATATGCTCATACATTTATTTTAAATGTTTATTAAAATTATTAAAAATACAGGAAAAATCAATTATAAGAAATGAATGATTTAAAGTGACTGATGTGAGAAGTGTTTGTGTGTAAATTTAAAGATTTATACATTTTACACTCATATTTTACATAATCATAATAAGCATAAATTTGCATTTATTTTTCTAGGTATGAAACTCAGAGAGAGAATTTAGCTCAGCAGTCATTTAATATGGAACAAGCAAATTACGCTACACAAATGTTAAAAGATACAAAAACCACTGTAAGTTAAAAATTTTAGTTATTGTGTTTAAAAAATTCATTATAAATAAATATTTATATAAATTAAATTTTTGTTTAGAAGTTGGAATAGTTGTTTTATCCCAGCAGCTTTATTATATTTTGTGAGATTTCAAAAAAGCAAATTAATACACTATATTAACTAGTTAGTTTGTTAAACTTATACTGGTAACAAAAATTATATTAAGAAAAGATACTGGAAATATTAGATTCACATTATAAAATGGTATAATGTAGTCTAGTCTTTACAATTGTTGTTCAGATCCATAGTACTTGTCTATACAGACCAGTAAAGATGAAACCACTAGGTTCATGTTAGAATGATCAGAATTTTATTTTGGTTGTTTGGAACTTGATCATCATTGATTTTGTTCATTTGATTCCAGGAATTGAAATTTTTTGTTATATTATCTGTGTTTAGATTGTGATAAATATTTTTTAGCATTTTGGAAACATCAGTCACATTACAGTAGAGCGCCATTTATCCAAATCAATTGGGGACTGGGGTTTTTCTTCATTGCGTGTTGCTTCGAGTTGAATTTTCATTGATGTTAAGCCTAACGAAAACTTTTTAAAATAATAATCATGGCTATTGTATCGTTAAAAATTATTTTTTTTTATTTTGTACAAACAAAATAAACATATTGAAAAATATACTTTAGAAGTTGATCTAGTATCAAAAACGTTCGATTCAGCATGACACACAGTTCTCAGAAAAACACCACACAAAAGTGTCAGTGCTGCCAGCAAAAAACACTCGCCAACAGAAAAAATATTAAAATAGCCCAAGATATAGTCAAAGATTGCAGTGCCACAGCACTAGCGAAAATTTAAATTTAGCGATTGGAATGCTCTCGGATAAACGATGCTCTACTGTATATTAATATGGGTTGCAATGTATCTGCCAGATACATCACCCGATATTGATTTTTGTTTGCATATTTAAAGAGATGTCATTCTGAGCTTAAGCTTTTAATACTTCAAACTTTATTGTTATATATGAAACTTAACAAGTATTTACTATCAAAAACAATGATTAAAGTAATTTGAATTTATTTTAAATCTAAACATTCAGAGTTACACCTACAAAACAATTTTTTCTGACTATTTGAAGAGTATTGTAAGTATATCATTACTTTGTTTTAGGCAAAATCAATCATTGCAGCACTTACAACAATACTTTGAAAGTCAAATTTTTTTATGAGAAACAAGTTGAACTGCATTTTCTTTTTCCAGTGGATATCTCAGGTGAGATCAGTAGTGACTGCTATACTTTCAATTGATTTTTCAAACTCTTGTAATTTCTGATATAGTTCCTTTTGGATCTCAGTATTTCAATCTGTTCTTAGATTTTTCAATTATTAGACTTGCCACCAAATTCCTTAAAACTTTTTTCTGCATTGGGCCTATTGCATGTTTTGTATATGGAAAATGTGTGTTTATACTATTATATTGAACAGGGTATAAAGGATAACAATTGGCACATGTTTCTTACTACATTACCTGTAGCAGCCATTTTGTTAACCATAACCTACACCTGGTGTTGTGCTGTTGTAGTAACAGGTGATTTTTGTATCTGAATCAATTGCATCATCAAACTGAAAACTTGAGACCAATAAAAATTTGTTTGAATGTGATACTATTATACAATCATGTCAAATTCAAGTAGATTTTTGTTTATTTTTGGTGTAATAAACTCAAGTGGAAGCTGTGGTTTACTTCTATGTAATATACCAACATACAATCGACCCCCCCATGACATGGTAGATATGTTCTGTTCTTTATGAAATTGATGTTCTAAGAGTTCTTGAATACATGAGCCAGTCACAGCCCAGCATATATGCAGTTTACAGACTATGGCTATTTGAAAGGTTTTCTTCCATAAAATTAATTGATTCTAGACTAATTCGACTCAACATTTCCAAAATACGTATAATTTTTTGGGAATAATCCATATAAACTATGCTATAAACAAAAAAATTTTAGGATTACTTAACAAGCTTAAGCAATGATGAAAGTTTTCTGATAAGTTATTTTTCTGCAAAAAATTTGCTGAACTTTGGAGACATCATTAATAGAAATAATTTTTATGGCTGTTGAATAAGAAATGTTTTTTTCACAGGAAATGTATAAAATTACAGCACTGTATTAGACTTATAGTACCTAATTTATATACTGTACAGATGATAGTAAACTCAACTTACCCGCCTAAACTGTCCGTAGCGTGTAAATAGTTCGGCTGCTCATCCACTATTAGTCCAGATTTGACCAATCCTGTCACGACACGAGTCGGCAATGACGTTTTACTGAATTATAAGAGTTTTTTTAGCATGTTTGTATGAATATGGTAGCAGTTTTTTCGCTGTGCTATAGGAATCCAAACTATAGGAACTGGTGTTATAGGGGGGTCAACTGTATATGACAATTTTTGTTTTCTCAAATCCTTCACTGATTGAGTATCTGAAAAACAATTTTCAGCAGTGATATTATGTTCAGTCGTGAAGATAGATAGGTTCTGCAATTCTCTTTACAACATTTATTGGCTTGTTGCTAAAGGATGTGGACTTTCAGACTATTTTTATATGTAAATTTCAAGATTTTAAGTGTATAAAATTTTAGCATCAACCATACAAAATATTTTAATCTCATACTCATTTGGCTTTGAAGGAATCTACTGTTTAAATCCACATTTTCTTTTGAATAAGCTAGCATTTCATCAATTGTCATGCTTTGTCCCTTTGCAGTTTTCAACAAATTTTGAAAACAACTCTCTTACAGTTGCTAATGTGACAAATTTTGAGTCAGTCTGTATGAGTCTGCCTACCATTAAATTTTGTGTCTGTTGTTTCAGCATATCTTTGTTGAGTATAATTGCCTTGTATAGACTTTATGCACTTACTAATGTTTACTAACATCAAATTCAATGTCTCATCAACAATGAAATAATTCCAAACATCATACTGTCAATATATTGGACATCTCTGCAGTGGTGCATTACAGCTTTATGGGCCCAGACAAAATTGAATTAGGAGAGCCTTATATACAGTATAGTGTTGACTTCATATATTTTTCTTTGGGGTAAATTTTTGGGAAAAATATTTTTTTATAAAAGATTTGTTTGGGGCCTCAGACAATTGCCTTTTTGACCATAGGATAACACGCCATTGTCTCTGTGCCCAATACATAAAGATATATATCTTTTCCAATGTGTTTGTTCACTGTTATATTCAATTTAAATATTTTGGATCCTTTATAAGCAACAAATAAATATTTAGTGTTCAGAGAATATTAGCAATTATAATTATATATATATATATCTTGGCAGGAGCATGTTGAGAGAACTCAAGATGTGTTGGCTGACTTGCAGATATCTCTGGAGAAACAAAAGGCTTTGTGATTGCCATACAAACCAATTCATAAATACAAAGACAAAATTACAGAAAGCACATTTTAAGAAGACAACAGTTGTAGGAAATGCTATACATTACATTACATCAGGTTGCAATCTTTAACACAGACTGACTGCTTGCATTGCCAATCAAATAGCAATAATACATCAAAAGCTTGTATACAAATACAAGCTATTATATATCCAGGNTATATATATATAATTATATTATAATTGCTAATTTTAGTTTTTTAGTATTATATTTCAACCAACTATACTCATGAATTTGTATATTCAAATTTTAGGTAGATGCTATGAAATTAGGGGTGAAGGAGATGAAAAGAGAATATAAAAAAGTCAATATTGATGATATTGAGGTAAGTTAATGTATTGAAATATATTCAGTTATTTTTAATTTAATTACTTCATTCACTATAATTTTTAATTATAGTAAATGAGGTAATGCAAATGAATATTTATTGATTTGCACTTAATCCATATACAATATTTACAAACATAATTCAAAATTATAATTAGATTTAAGTCAATATGGAAAACCATTGCCAACAGGATGCTTTTTGTGTTTTCATAAGAACAAATTGAGATATAGTTAAAATTAAGTGTATAATCAATATATTTTACAAATTTCAAAAATCAATTATAAAATGTATCATTTTATTTAAACAAAAATATATTTATCCACATAATTGTATTAATCAGTTGTGTATTTATAATCATGAATATTTTTGGGATTACAAAGTAAAAAAATTTTAAATAGTCCTATCTATACTAATATTATAAAGAGGTAATGTTTGTAAGTATGTAAGTAAGTAACTTTGTATGCAGCAGGTAATCTCCGAAACTACTCATCCGATTTCTTTCACCAATATTTAGAATGGAACTTCAGGGTGGACATAGGCTGTATATTATTCCATTAAACATTCATATAAATTAAAATATATCATCTAGGGTTAAGGCTTTTATGTCTGACAGATGGCACTATGAGTACGACGCCCTAAGTTTGCTTTTCTGTGAGGCATTATGCTTTTCTGTGAAAATGAACTAAAGCAGATCATCATCTATCTATTTATATAAGTAAAAATGTAATGTTCATTTATTCCTACCGATTCCTTTGAAATTTTGACACAACGCTGCATTCGAATACGCACGTGTTTTTATATAATATATGTGTCGAAATTCAATCCCACTGAAGGGAGATGGTTAGGATTAAGGCTTACTTACGGTAAAGAACTCTGCTTCTATTTACACTATTTTAGATGCAGGCTTTTGCGTTTTTGATTGCGTTTTAATAGGGTACGTCAACAGAATGTACACTAAGAAGAAATTTTTCGAAAAATCCCTCCCCACAAGGGAAGTGTTATAAATTTATAATAGATACATTTTGAGCCACAACAACGCGTGGTGGGATCTGCTAGTACAATACATCTTTGTAATATTTCTTGCAATATTTTTTATAAATATCCTACAGCATTGGATTTTTTTTTTAAGAATTTAATAAATAAAATATCATATTTATAAACACAATTTATGAATATATTTTGATTTGCAGCAGAATAATACAAAATAATAATAATTGCATTCTGATAATAAAAATATTTTTATACACAATGTGAATTTTTCTGTTCTGTTTTGATATAAATTGTTAACTATATACAGGATTCCTATGCACTTGGAAAGTCAGGGATTATCATTAGTGTTCAGAAAAAGTCATGAAATGTCAGGGAATTTGTTAAAAATTGTTGCAAAGTCAGGGAATTTGCTTCCTTTGCTGCCTTGATTTTTTGCTGACGATATGTTTGATTAAGCGTAGCCATCTGCAGGCAGCAAGAACTAATGTGATGCAATACAACTTATGAAAAGGGGTCAGAATATTTTCAGGCCCAAAATTTCTTTCAAGCTTACATAAAATTTTCTCAAAAATTTGCAAAGTACACAAAATGATAAATAATTTCAATGGTATTGTTTATCAATTTTTATTTTAATAATTTTGATTGTGTAACACAAAATTTCTGATTTTTTTTCCAGTTTATTAATATTTTATGAAGTTCAGGAAATTTATTAAGAGAGAAATTTAATAAATATATACTTCTGTACATGGATCATATAGAATTTGTAATGACTAATAAAAAATTTTTTTTTCTTTCAAAGCCATATAGATTTATGGTTGTGGATTAATAACAGAATTTTAGTAAAACATTTTATTTTTAACTTTAATAATTTGACAATCATGGAAAAATATGTTACTATTTATTAAAACATTGGAGAAGCAAAACATGTGTGCATAGGAATTCAAATGCTGTTTTATTTTGTCAATGTGCCATACTGTAAGGAACATGAGGGTCAGAATTTGTACAAAGTTGGTCAGAAAAGGTCAAGGGAAGTCATGGAAATTAAAACAAAAGTTTGAGTAGGAACCCTGTATATATTAAGAAGTTGAAAATCTAAACCTTAAAAAATTATTTTTAGAATTTGCAAGATGATTTAGAAGATATGTTAGACCAAGCCAATGAAGTGCAAGAAGCATTAGGAAGAAGTTATGGTATGCCAGAAGTAGATGATGATGAATTAGAGGCTGGTAATTATTAAGTATTCCTAAGATTTTAAAATCTTAATCTTTAATATTAATCTGTTTTTCAGAATAGTAGTAGAATGTTTTTAAATTTTAAATAAAGTTTTCTTAATGTATGTATATAATAATTACTTTTAAATTATGAAAGAATTGGATGCATTGGGTGATGAAATTGCCTTGGATGAAGATACATCATATTTAGATGATGCGGTGAAAGCTCCAAATGCTCCAACTAAAGAACCAGGAACTGAGAGTACAAATGAGGTATATCTTATTTAAATTTTATAATTTATATACCAGTAATTTTTGCCAATTGAAAATTTTTGCAGAAAATTTTAGTATCAATTTTATTTTTTTCATGTTGGAATGCACCTTTACAAAATATACATGTGGAACTGTAATGTCATCTTCAAAATACTTTCCTTGCACATCTATACACTGACTTAAATGGCTTTCCCATTTCTGGAAGGATGCCTGAAACTCATTTTCCAGAATACTGTTGAGCAGCTGCCTGACATTCTATTGGATATCAGTTATATTAGAAAATCTTCATTCTTTCAGTGCAGGTTTTAATTTTGGAAATAGCCAGAAATCACAGGGAGTAAGTCAGGTGAATAGGCAGGATGATCTAAATGGGCAATTGCTTTTTTGGCCTAAAAAGTCTCACAGTGAGACTTGGCATGATGAATGATCCACTTTTCAGGACACAGTTTGGGTCTTTTTTCTTCAAACAGAATCTTGTAATCTCTTCAATATTTCTAAATAGTGTTATTGGTAGATGGTTTGTCTCTATTCAATAAATTCTTGGTGAACTATTTTCTTGTGATTGACGAAACACACCAGCATGGTCTTAAACTGTGAGCATTGACATGAATGCTCTTTTTAGGGCATGGCAAACTTGGGAATTTTCATTGCATGCTCTGATGTTTTGTTTCTGGGTCATACTGTAATGTTTAGGTAGCACATTTGCCAATTTTTGCACACAATTTAATATTAATACATTGCTCTAAATTTTTGATCACCCATTTTTATGCCAAGGAGTACATGTGATAACTAATACTGTCCCAATAGCTAATTAACAACTAGCTCTATCAGCTTGGAATTTTCGCACATATTAGTTCAAACATGTTCAAATGCAAATGTGCACATCATTTTGATATAATTGTCATGGGTGATACTATGTGGCAATTTCGGGAATTAAATTATTAAATTGTCACATCATGTATGTATGTATGTATGTATGTATGTATATATATATATAATATATATAAAACATAATACGTATTAAAAATTTTTGTAATACAGTGATTGAAATTATTCAACTGAATAGATGAATGATTTACGTATTTAATTTAATTTTATTTTATTAACAACTATCTTTTTCAATGAAAAGAAATTATTTATTGAGGTAAATTGGATAATCAATATTCCAATTTATCTCAGACTTTCTTTCTCCTAGGTATGGTACAATTAATATCTGCTAAAGTAGCAGGCCATCCCTTTAAGAGCAAAACAAAACAAAATAAAGGACTTTCAGCCTATATTGATCAATTTTTCATTCTGAAATGGTTGAATTTGCATTTTAAAATTCTTTTTGATGTGATACAAATTATTTAAAATTGCCAGCTTTGGATAAAAAATACTTCGATAGTTTATAATTTTTGTAAATTAAATTGAACAGAAGTTATTGAGAAATTAAATTCATATTAATTCAATAATGATCATTAGAAGAAAAAGAAGTGTTTTTAAAAATAAGTTTTTCTTCTTTTAACAGAAAGTTTAGTAAATATTTTACATTAATTCTAACTGAAAATTTCAATTTTTAATAATTAAAATTATAATTAAGTAGTTAGTATAATCTATATATATATAAAAATGAATGTATGTCTGGCTGTCTGTGTGTGTGTCCTTCATGCATTACCACACCGTTTATCCGATTGCCATGAAACTTTTGGAAGTTGTTTAATATACTCCAGCGAAGGTTTGTGGCATAGTACGATTGCCATGAAGCTTTGGAAAGTTTTTTAATTTTTTAATACACTCCCGCGAAGTACATTTATCCTACGATAGATTGCGCGCGTTTACACGAGCATTTGCGCACAGTGTGTTCAATTGATTTCAAATTGTGAAGACCATTTCCCCCTTCAAAAAATATCTCTATATATGCATTTGTGAACTGTTATTTATGATATTTATAATAATTTTTGTTTAATCACTTTATTTCGACTTTTTTTGCTAATTATGTATTCGCTCGAACTTCGTTAAAATCTTAACTGTACCCCGAACGACGACTGAAGTTGTAGGAAGAAATTTGCCTATTTTACCGATCTAGGTATCCCCCTTTTTCAAATTTTAATATAGACTCAAAATAATTTAAAAAGACAAATTACAATAAAACGGTTTATTATCTGACTATCAGAAATTTCACAACATGCCAAGGAAGAGAGGAAGGAGCAATTAAATAATTAAAATTATAAAGGATTAAAAAATATATATATATATGATGGGGAATATCGCACTTCTGACAATCGCTGCAAGTGTATGGGCTAAATTTGGAGAATCCGTGCTTCTCGCGTGGACAACTGTATGTGGCCGGCTCACGCGTCGAAAATCCTTCTGATTTATTCGTGTACGCACCAGACGGAAAAACAAAAAATATCGTGTATCCACAAGCACTCCAATAAATAAATAGAATTGAAAC